AAAAAAAAAAAAAAAAAAAAAAAAAAAAAAAAAAAAAAAAAAAAAAAAAAAACTAAAAGCTCTCAAGGAATTCTCCCACCATGAAGCAGCGCTATCCCTCCTGAGGGACTCTAAAGATTTAGTAAGGTTTTGATGATTTGCTTTTTCTCAGTAACGCTTTTTAAAAAAGAAACTCAAGAAAATTACCTGTTACAGGGAGATAGACCTGTCTAGAAAAATATACACTGATTAAAAAGAGGGAGATTCTGATTTTCCTGCCTGGTGAGAGTGTTCATAGTGCTTTCAAACCCTTCAGCAAAGTTCTTTTTTTTTTTTTCCTTTTTGGCAAGAAATTTGGAGGAGGATGACTCTTTAACATTGCTGAGTTTCCCTGAGTTCAGAGTCCCTTTCTTATCCTGAAGCCTAGCAGGGTGATGTGAGGACCTCGTGCTTTTGAGCCTAAATATGGATTGTTCTAGTGTAGATCATTGGGGCAGATGATGTCAGCCATTAACAGTATTTTAAAGCTGTCAGAGATGGACTGGGAGGTCCCAAAGGAAACCATGCACTTCAGGGTTTGGCCGTAGGTTCTCCTTCTAATAGAAATCCTTCCATAAGCCAACTTCTGCTAATTCAGAAAAGTACAGCTCCGCATTTGGTATGTGATGGAACAGCCCAGAAATATCTGGGTCTGAGCAATGAGATTCTGTTTGGACACCCCTGCTTATCTGCAGTGATGCCCCTGCCCACCCCAGGCTTGTGCAGAAATGGCATGTAATATATGAGGTTAATCCGAGCTGCCCTTGAGTTTATCCCTTCTCTGCTACCTGCCGTGGCCACCCCTGGTGAGTGGTAGTTGATGGAAATGCTCCTTCCACTCAGCTTCCCATCCACACCCCACTTTACTGCAATCTTCTTAGTATAGTGACCTAGATCTGCTCACTCCCTGCAGAGTGGAGCCCTCAGTCCCATTTTAGGGTTTCCTAACCTCTCTCGATGAGTTTTCCTGTTCTGTTCTGCTTAGATAGTTACCTGGGAAGGAAATCTGCTGCTTAATCCTTCATTCTGCCAATGTTGCCCCAAAGATAATGCCAAATCACTTTATTGACTCTCACTTTAATTAGGGGTTTCGGGCCTTGCTGTTCATAATTAGTTTCCATTGCAATTAGAGTTTCAAAATTAAATTGGGATTGATTGCCTGATAATAAAGTAGAAATAAAGCTCCGATTCTTGACCATGTATGCTACTTCTCTTGGCATGAATTTCTCATGCAAAAATAACACTTCAGTAGCCATGGTAACTTTCCGTTTGGTCTAATCCATATCATCTCTGGAGAAAGTAGGTTGTTATTAATAGAGTTTGTTGTATGGGAAGAAAACTAAAAATATAAAAGCTCCTTCGTTGTATAGGAGACCAATCACACTGATGCTCTCAGGGAATAAGATCTTATTTGCAGAGTTCTTGGAGAATTTAGGATATATTGAAGAGCTTTATGTGAACTTGTCTTCTCTGGGAAGGAATTAAAGGGAAGGCCAAAAAATGGAGAGAAGGGCCAGGGATGTGCACACATCACTTGTGCCCACATATGACATATTCCAGCCATGTCGTGGGTCATGACTTAACATCGCCAAGGGAGTCACCTCACAAAAGACCAGTGAGTCTTCTGTTGGGGAGAAGAGAATGGAAGTATATTTTGCTTAAGTTCAATGGAAAGAAGTTTGTAATGAAGACTTTCTAAGTCCCTGAATGGTGAATGTAGCCCCATCCACGGGTAAGCACTCATAGGTGGGATGAGCTCAGGGATAGGGGAATCATAATAAGTGACAGTTGGGGCACGGTCCCTACCTTCAGGGCTTACAGCACAAACAGCTGAACACAATATCGTTTCAGTACATTGCAGAAGGATCCCCAGTGTCTGAGTTCTTTTGCATATTGTCTCACTTGAAATCTCAAAATAGCTCTGAGTTGAACAGAGCAATAGTCTACCATTTCCATAGAGGAGAAACTGAGACTCAAAGAAACAACCTCCCCAGAATCATTTAGTGGAAAACTAGGGGTAGAGATCAGATTTTTCTGTCCTGAGCCTAGTGTTCTTCTGTAGCATATCAAGACAACTGAAACCTAAAACAAGGTGCTATTGTATGTATTAGTACTTTATTTTGCAGTCCATTGGGAGAGAACAGTATGAGCCTCAGTTTTTAAGAGAGACTTCGGGGAGGATGCAGGACTGATTTTTGGAGATTAGGTGGCTCTATAATGTTGTTGGTGCTGCTGCTTGTGCTGCTTTTCTTCCTTGTCCTATTCTTCCTCTTCCTCCCTCTTCTTCTCCCCTTCTTCACCAGAATTTGGAGGGATGAAGAGGATGGGATGGAAAAGACATTCTAGACCAAAGAGGTCAAAGACAGAAGACATGCTGGCATTGACAAAGGCACTGAGAGCCAGTTCTGGTCAGAGAAAAAGGTTCTCAGTGGATGACATGGTCAGAAAGGTCATGAGAGTTAGGAATGATCCCACCTGCCAGGCCTCTTCAAGCAGTTCACAGAGATTTGGGACAGATTTCCACATGGACTTTCATCCTGGTTGTACCCTCAGCTCAGCAAGCCTTGCCTCTGGTACCTTGAGTGCCTGGTCTCTGTCAGATGCTGGGACCTCCATAGGTAAGACCCAATCTTGGTATTAGGGGAGGTTTTTGTCCAACTGGGGAGATCTGTTATGGTTCTTGGTGGGCATACTACAGATACTTATCAACCAACTGAAATGAAGCATCATTTATCAGTAATTCAGTGGTTCTCTCTGTCTCCCCAGAGGCACACGCCTGGCAGATCCTGACTAGAATAGGGAGGAGAAAGAGAGGCTTCCTGGGGAAGGTAAGGCCTCTGCTAGGTCTAGAAGAATTATTAGTACTATTAATACTACTACAAAAGTGTAGAGAAATAAGACAGCCAGGTATGTGCAGGACGCAGCCAGTGGCAGGACCACAATTAGCTCTCTGCCAAGCTATGAAAGGAACTTTGTAAGAGAAGCACAATAGATCATGTCTTGGCAGTGCGCAGTGGGACCCCAACTCTTCTGGCCCCTTCTGTCTCTGATTGTTTGATGTTTATTATCCAAGGAAAAAGGAATGGAAATATGCCACCTTATCATGCTCTTGAGGAAGGTCCTTGTTGGAAGAACCCAAGGGCTGGGAATTACCTTCCAAGTGCAGAAGAGCTGCCTTCATGAACGAGCGTAGAGAGGTTGGGGAATTCAGTACATGGGTAAGCAGGTCAGTATCAGCCAATAGGTCAGTAATTCCAGAGGCAGTGGTCTTGTCCACTCGTGATTAGAAGGTGGTAAGTTGTAGAAACAGACCTTCTCATGCTTAGATTGGACTGTCTTTGCAGCCACAAGGTGTTGCTATATAGGGGGAAGATCTTAAATCATGTTGTGTTTCATTTTAATTTAAATCATTTTCATTTGCCAGCCTCCAAAAAGTACTGGAGCCCTTTTGAATCCACAGCACAGCCTGAGGGGTCACACTGGCCATCACTAGAATGCTGGGTCCCTGGCATTTGCTTTCATTAGAAACTGCATATCCCTGGTGGAGAGAATGTCCCCTGGCTTCCCTGTGGCTTATCCTTTGGTCTGTGTTATTGTGACCGCCTGGGGACTAGTGTGACACATCCTAGTACTGGTGATGGTCTGGTTGCTTTTGTGATGGGATAGATACACCACTGGCACAAGCTGTTCATGGTCGAAAAGTCACGTGGGAAATGTCTTTCCAAGTAACTCACCCCCTCTTTGTATGGCTGCTAGTTGCTCATTTATTTCTCCAGCCCTCTAAAGGGGCGGGGGTACAGCTTTTTTTTAAAGCTTTAAATTTTAAACATTCCATTGGCAACTGGGGGCCATGGGGATCTGGTTTCAGCATCAGAAGGACATGCCTGACAGAGGCTGTCCTTTTCCCAGAGAGACCCCAGAGCTTGGCTCCTGGCTGAGGACTCGTTTCCAT